GTATAAAATGCACATTTTTTATATATTTGTGCTCTTTATTAATTTCACTATTATATATATATATAAGTATAAAATGCATTATTTTTTTATATATTTGTGCTCATTAATGAAATCAGACAAAAGTATCAATTGATTGTAAAATTTATTTCTAACACAACAATTTTTTAATAAAGATGACAGTTTATTATTTCACTTATTTAACAGTCTTTTTATACATTTTTTTATTTAAATTTTTTTAACACTTTTCGGCAATATTTTAAGGCATTTAATTATCTTTTTATATATTTAACTTCAAAATATTTTAATAGATTTTTGAATTAAATATATTAAAATAAGAAAAGATTATTAGAAAAAGAAATTATAAAAACAAATAATCTTTTATAAAAAATTAATTGCAGATTTCCAGATCAGAAACAAATACCTTTATATTTATAATTAAAGGACAAGATATATATAAGATATTCAATTACAATTTAAAAGAAATGTTTACCTTTTATTGAAATAAATGAAAAATTATTTTTAAGGAATGAATTCTATCAGAGATTGAAATAATTTCAATATCTCATGGCTATAGGATTATCTTTAGACGCATAATACTTTCACGTTCCGTTTGGCTGTTCAGATATCTGTGGCATACAACGTATACTTGGTCGAAGAGAAATCTCACGCGATTAGCGCCATCGTTTTCACCTGAATGCAAAAACGGAAGTGAAACTTTCGGCGCGCGTTATCGTTCAAAACAAAAAACAAACTACCAAATCTAATCTGCATTTTTTTCATTCCATTTATATTTTGTTTCATACAACTGGTCAATTAAATTTGAATTTGATATAACATAATAATTTTTAACACGAGACAGTCCAGTTGAGTAAAAGAAGGAGTGTTATGTATTAACTTTATATGCAAAACTTTTATTTTTTAAAAAATCATTAATGTCTACATTCTCTTCAGCAATAATATACCTAGTATAATAAATTGTCATGCTAGCAGATTAGTAGTAATTTTTTTAATCGAATATCTAGCATATTCGCATCTGCGTCTACATTGAGCTAATATTAATAAAATCTGCTGACGTGATCTGACAACAAATTGTCAACAAAAATCGCGCAGATTCGATGCTTTCGACAGATTTTGCAATTTCTATCGCTAATCTGCAGCAAACTAGCAAATATATCAAAATCAGTTCGATTTCTGTCATTAATTTGCCATTACATCTTATTAATAAATTTTTTTTATATTTTTATCATTTTACTAAGGATATTGCATATGCCAAATCTTGTATCAAATCGATAAGATTCATTTAGTAAAATTTGTAGCAAATGTTTTTGCAGAATCTGTTTTCAGACTTGGCTGATTGAGATAGTTCTCTTAAGGACAATTTTTTTAATTACATAAAAAATAAATTACTTTGTGTTTAAATTTATTCATATTTTCTCTATGTAGAAATATATTTGTATTGCATTGTATTTTGTATTTTCACACTAATATGAAAAAAGGGAGAAAAAAAATTTATATAGCTAGATTATTTAAATTCTAGATCCATATACATTTATATTCCTTTTAACTTAAATAAAACATTTTTAAGGTAATATATATATATATATATATATATATAATATATATATATATATA